ATGAATTTTGGGGTGAAAACATAAGGGCGTTTCTCCCTGGGCATGCAAGTCTTTAGCCAGACTCCTCCTTCAACTATATTCCTTTGTAAATTGCAGTTGAGCTCTTTTGGGATCTGGCTGTGAATTCCTGTCCATAACAGACCACAAAGATGCCGCTTGGGTAATGCACATATTTGAGATACTTAGAACTACCCCGGACAACCTGAGAGGGAGGGGAGCAGGTAGCCTCCTGGAGAGGAGTTAATGTCCAACTACATGCCCCATTTCTCTTTCCATACGGATGCTCCCAGGGGCTCTGTCCACTTTGCCTTACTATTGTGCTCCTTCTCCTACCCTCAAAGCCAAACTCCCTGGCTGAATTTTTCTCCTGCCCTTAAAACATATCCTGAGATGCCATAAAGGAATCCTCTTGCAATGCAAGAGGGAAAATCCTCTGCAGAACATAAGCCTGCTCATGATCTCTCAGGTTATCTAAATGACCATGGCAGAGATTTGTCAACTGGTTTTCAGCCTCCCTCAGAGCCTTAAAAATAATTCTTGAAACACAGTGAGGAGCATTTACAAGGACTGTGATAACAGAACAGGATCTCTGCTTTAAAAAGGTGAGACTCTGGGGGCTGTGAGGACAACTTGACTCTATTTAGTGGTAGAAATAAGCTCTTTTATTCCCCCATTCTGCACTATAAGTACTAGAATTCTAGATACATCTGGTTCTGTTGTTCTTTTCAATCACCCAAAACTGTTGTAAAGCTACTGTTGGCTCAGAAGCATTGGCCATATTCTGGCCAACACTGATACCAAGATGGTGAGAGGCTGACATCCGATGGAGCACCACCATGCTAGGTGTTCTACAAACACACCATAATATATGTGTTCTGTCCTAGAGAACTCTTAACAATAGAATTACAGAGTAATTCAAGTCTGAAGGGACTAGATCAGGTTTCTCAGCCAAATTTTGAACATCCCCAAGGATGGAAATCCTACAGCCTCTCTGGGTTCCTGTTCCAGTGTATACTACCCGCATGCTGGAACTGGTTCTCCCAAATAAACACTAGATTCTAATGAGAGGCAAAATCATTGGTAAATTAATAGCCCAGACATGGGCACTCCAAGCAATGAGTCGGGAGGCTGAATGTTGTCTCCAAGCCCTGGAGTCACACAGAGCCCCTCCTTGTAGGTAGGAGCTGGGATAGCCAACGTGGGATGGCAACCGCCGGAAGTGACAGATGAAGGGATACTCACAGGATGAATGGGAAGGCATTTAGAGTCTGCTTTGGTAATGAGATCAGATACACTTAGAGACACATTAAGGCAAGATAATTATTGCTAATATTATTGCTGGAGAACCTAGTGAGGACCATACCAGGCCAGGTCCTACACTCGGCAGGACCGAGAACTACCCCTGCCCTGAGGAGTAAGAAGGAAGGGCCCAATCCTGCAAAACAGTTAAGCACATATATAAATGCCTTTGCAGGACTTGTTTCCTTAGAGGCCATCATTAAACACACATGCAAATTTTGATGTTAAAGGATTTGGTTGTGCCAAACCAGACCTTTGCGATGGCCAGTGTTCACCAGAGTGAGACGGGCAGATGAGACCAGGATGGGGAGCCAGAGGGATGGAAAGGTCATTTAACCACTTCTAAATGTCTTTCCTTTTTGTGGAAGTGCAGTATCTTGAATCACCTCAGTTATTCTTGTGTAAATTGATCAGAAGAGATCCCTATTTCACTTCCAATCTCACGGGCTGGCTGGAGAGGGTGCAGTCAGGAGGAGCTCTGGAATATTGTAAAGGAGTTTTTAAAACTGATCAACAACTCTTAATATAACACTGAAGCTGTGACTAGGTTGGGGTAGTGGTTTGTTTTGCTTTTTTCCTCCCCACGTATAAAGTTGAAGCTTCTCAGGTCATCTGGGAAGGTCCCACGGAAACATGCTTATTTGTAAGGGGGAGAGGGAAACCAACCAACTGAACAAGCTGTAATTATTTAAAGATGTAAAAAAATATATATTAAGAAGTAGTATGGCTACCAATCCATGTAACTTCTACACCTTTAGAACTAATGAAAATAAAAGAATGATAACAAAAGCAAAAGGCTACTGCTTGACTCTGACTACCCACGTGGGCTTCTTGGAAAGGGCTGGGGGTAAATAAGCCCATATGGAGTACACCTGGATAAGTGATGTTGCAATGTCCTGTCCTAGGGAGCTCGTAATGATAGAATTACAGAGTGATTCAAGTCAGAAGGGTGACAAATACTAACAGCCACAGCAATGGAGCAATTCAAGGCTGGGTATGACGGCGCTTTGAGCAACCTGGTCTAGTGGAAGGTGTCCCTGCCCTTGACAGGGGCATTGGAACTACTTAAACTTTAAGATTCCTTCCAATCCAAATCATTCTGTGATTGTACGATTTTAATTGGAAAGGGGAAAAGCACTAAATATGTTTTCTATGCAGCAGGTAATGCTCCTAGCACAGTAGAGAGAGTAAAAGCTCCCAAAGGCACTTTAATACTGACCTATCATTCTGGTCTGCTCACTAACACAGCTTTGCATAGTAGGCTGTTGTTCAGCCTAATAGCTCCCAGCTACACTCAGAGACACCACCCTCACGCCAAAACCACATTCCAGCAAGGGCTGTGCTTCTGGAGAGGATGGAGGTGTCTGAGCACAGCACCCAACCAGGGTACCCAGCTCCCAAGCCAGCTAGCTCCTGGACACCATTGCAACTGGTGGGGTGAGCGTGGCCAGCACTTAAACCCCTAAACCCCTGCCCATTCCTGCCCCACCAGCCAATTGGGGAACTCCCTGCTGTTTGGGAGGAGGGTCCTCCTCCCCTATGACAGGAGACGGGTGGATGGGCTCTGGCTACAGAAGGTCGTGGTGGAGGTGGGTAGGTGGAAGTGCTGGGAGCAGAGGCAGGGCTGTGTGCTCTGCTTCCCCAGGTGCACACACAGGATAGACTGGGGAAGGGTGGTTGCTTGTGGGCTGGATGCAGGAATGTGGGGCTTAGGGGTGCCCCCACTGCACTGGGGAGACATGAGGGAGGGAACTCTGGATGCGGTTGTTTTGGAGAGCTGCAGGTTGGTACTTGGCTGAGTGTGAGCGGATGGGGAGCTCTGCACCCCGCATAACTGCATGTGGAAGGTGGAGGCTGTGCCTTGAAATCACTGCAGGAGCCTTATGCAGGGGTGTGGGGCTGCAGCCCTTGGGCGCAGGTGACGGTGGGTTGGGGCAGAGGAACCTGGCAGCCTTGCCCTTGTCGTGTTCTGCTGTGGGTGCGTGGTTTCTGTCTGAGCACAAGGAATGGAAGTGAGCCTGTGCATGGGGAGGGTTTGTCCTGGTCCCAGACCTGCAGTGGTACCAGCTAAGGTAGCTTGCTCTGGGATGCAGTGGCCATGCTCCTGGGGAGATGGGTGTCATGCCCTGTGGAGTGCTTGTTATCTGCCTCTTCCTTCTTGGAGGTGGGAGTGTTTCGGAAGTCGGCCTGTAGTAAAAGTGAAGTAGGGAGGCCCATGGAGAGAAGACCAGAGACAGCAAATTCTGGTTATTCTGATGCCTTCCAAAAGGAAAACATGTTAAGGGACACTACCTGGAACCAAGACATGAAATTAAACTTGTTAACTGGTCATACAAACTCTCTTTAGTTGGAGTGAAAGACTGAGCTTTATTGCTGTGTCTCCTAAGGCATGGGGTAATTATTCACAGGCCTGCTACAGTTTCACCTGGAAGGGCTTCATATTGTGCACATGAAGGTTCTTACAGCCATGCTGCCTTGCCTGCTCCTGCTGAGGCTATGTCCACACCTCACTGTGGTTCACAGCCCTGTGGAGGTGGCTGCTGGATTAAATGCTTCATCTGGGGTAACAGCTTCTTGCTGTGCCAGCAGCATGTGGCACTGGAAGCTTTGGTTTCACAGTTGCTCTGAGCTGACACAAGCGTGGGCCTGTTATCTGTGCTAGCCCAGACAGTGGAGAAGCTGAGACGCCAGCATGAGGTGGGAACGCCTCTTCTGGTGAGGGACCATGCACAAGAGCGCTGTTGATTTTCACCTCAAACTAAGAGCTGTGCCACATAGCGCAGAGCCCTGTAACTAGGTCTGAAGCTGAGCCTATGGTCAGTGCTGGTCCCTGGAATTAGTCTGCAGAAGAGATGGACACTGTGGGAGGAAAGCCAAACTGTGCTTTCCTTGTCCTAGAGCCTGCTTTCTTGTACACCCCGTCCTGGCAGAAGAACTGCAAGTGAATGTGGCTGGGATTTCATGCCAGAAATAACTCCTTATATATTGGTGCGACTTCCTGGAGGGACTTACAGGATGCTGTAGGATGGTGCTGCTTCATCTCCCTCTCATACAACATCTTCTCATCCCAGATGCTGCTAGTAGAGTGTATGAATGCTCCCTAGCCCCCACACTGCTGCAGTCAGTGGGGCAAGCAGCTGATAAAGCAAGGGAGAGGGATGAACTAACTCCAGTGCTGCACTTGCCGTGGTGGCATGGGAAGGATGGTGCGCTGGTCTGTGATGGTTCTGGTTCATTAATATATATGCAGGGTTGTGTTCCTTCTTTGTACTGGCACATCAAGGCCATAACTGTTAGAGCCAGGTGAGCTCTTGTTTCTGGTGAGGAGAGAGATGCCAAACAGTCTTTTTCAAGGTTCTCTGATTCCTGGGGAACCTGTGGTAGGAAAGGATTTCTGGAGATCCCCAGGCTGAATTCCTGCTTGTGGGGCAAAAAGCACCATTAGTGCAGGTTGCTCAGGGCCTGATTTGATCGAATTAAGAATATCCCCAAGGATGGGAATTCCCCAGCATCCCTGGGCCTGAAATGAACCTGTTTCTCTTCATGGACTTTGGCATGGTGTCTTGAAAATGAAAATAGGGGTGAGGAAACTGTGGCAAGCTCAGCCTCTGAGTGGTTTGGTGGATTTCTGAGCTGCAACTTTCCTTCAGGTCTAGGGCACCAAGTGTGAGAAGGACCTGTTATTCCCTCAACTGCTCGAGATGCCAGAAGGCCCATCCCTGAGGAAGTTCCAGCTGCTGACTTCCCCTTTTGTGGGACAAGTGGTAGTCAAGGTGGGGGGGAGCACCAGGAAGATCAGTGTGAATGACCTGAATGCGCTGAGGCTCCAGGACTCCCAGGTGAGCTGTACTAAAGATGGACTTACTTGTCCATGGCAAGTCTGAGGCAAAACATCATTGTCTTGCATCTGGGTCACAGAAGGTGCACAACCTGAGAATAACACCAAAGTGTGTTTGAGGTGGGCCAAATGCTTTGTTTATAGCCAAAATAGGTGCATGTGGCCTGAGAGATGTGGAGCACTGCTCTGTGTTGCCGAGTTTGGGATCCAAGTTACTGTAAGGAGAGGCTGTTGCAGTGATGTGGCTAGACATGGAGATGCCCAGAGTTATGTGCAGTTTTGAGTCAGTCATGCTAATGCGCTAGTTCTGTGCCTCTTGAGGGCTGCAGAGTTGGGTTTGCTTAGCACTACTTGTAAATGAGAGCTGATTTCTTCAGTATGTGGCTGTCAGAAGCAGCAACCTTGTTCCCCTCAGCTGTGAACTTGCACAGCTGCTTCCCTTATACCAGAGGGCAGGGTTTTACCTGGCCGGGTTGAAATGTCTATACTGTGGGTGCTTGTGGGAAAGTCACACTGGGTCAGTCATGCTGAGGGCTTCACTTACCTGACTTCCCTCACATGATGATTTGGACTTGACTGACCAGACGCTAGTGCAGCCTCACCTCTGGTTACATGATAGTCTCAGCCAGAGGCACAGATGCAAGGTGTGTAATAGTCATTTGGGGCTAGGCTGTGGCTTCAGAGCCGCCTTTGAGTTAGTTCACCCTGGCCTGAGACACTTGAGGCCAGCACAAACTGGGGAGGCAAATGGGAAGTAGTGGTGACACTTTGAAATCCTGAGTGTCTGTCCTGCTGTGCCTCTTTGGCCTGAGGGCTTTATATGCAGTGGCACTGAAATACCATGTGCTTTGTGTAGACAAGGGATGCTGAAAGAATGGCCATAGTGCTGACGGGAATGGCTTAGATGTTAATGAATCCTGTGTTCAGGGTGGGGTGAAGTGCCATTTGTCTCATATTAGAAGATGTTATAGAAAATAGTCACTTGTATGGAAACAGCCAGGGTTCCATGAAACCTCAGTACATCCCACCTTTTTTTCTCAGGTTCATGGGAAGAACTTGTACCTGGCATTTGTGGCAGTTAGAGGTTCCTTGGGACCAACTGCAGAAGAGACAGTGCTGCAAGGAGAGGCTGCTAGTGGGGCAAGTCCTCCTGCCCAGGGAGGGCAAGGGCAGGTTTGTGCTCCACAGATGCATCCCCAGGAGGAGGAGCCACAGGAACCCCAGCACCCAGGATCTGAAGTCCCCGGAGCAGCAGAGGGTCCAGGCAACTGGCTGCACTTCCACTTCGGCTTGTTTGGCAGCATTCGGGCAAATGAGTTCTCAAGGGCAAACAAAGCCAATAAGAGGGGAGACTGGAAGGACCCTGCACCCAGGTATTTAATGGAGCCCTTGCTAACTCTGCTTTCTGTCTGCCTCAAACTAAATTTGTGAGGGGATGCTCTTAGCCCTGTCTTTACTCTGATAAGTAGGCAAGAGAGATGGCATGAGTGGTTGTGTGGTGTGTTCAGCCAGGGAATCCACAGTGTGCTTGTGGCATGCATGTTGCCTGTCAACCTGGAGATCACAGTACCAGCTCAGTAAAGATTTTTATTCAAAGAGAACTTTTAGGGTGCCAGACTGAATCATGCCCTGAAAATGCCAGTTTCTCCCAACTACATGTTTGAAAAAAGCCTTGGATAAATAGCCTACATCTAGGGCAGCTGGAGTCACAGACTGGAGTGATGCTGTTAAAGACCACGCTGCACTGAAAACACAGTCTGTATCCTAAGTCCCACTGGAAGTGTCCTGAACAAGGGGTAAGTACAGGAAAATAGTGTGGACTCTGCTCTTGAGAGCTGTTTACCCCAGGTGGTTAATAATGCACAAGGTAGGTCTGCCTCCTGTCTGGTGTCCTTGTTAGGGACATACTCCATGCCCCCCATCTTGCAATCTTTTGAAGGATTACTTTATTCCTACACAAGTAGTTTCAGCATCAGATTCCCTGATTTGTGGCCCCTACTGCTGGAGCCCTTGGTCATCTGTCTTGATTGCTGGGGAGAGCTGAGGTGCTGATGCATGTCTCTCTCTGCTGCTGTCTCTCTGCTAGGGACCACAGGGCAGCAGAATGAACAACTGTCTGCAAATTGTGTGGGTTCACAACCAAGTTTCCTGGCTGAAATCACTGAAGAGGCTACCTTGCATTAAGATGGTGGCCTGGAGTGTTGGAATGCCTGCTGCGACCCTGTGCACACAAGCAAGTGTGGTGATGAGCTGTAGGGAAGGAATAGCTGGACTAGGGTACAGCTTTGATTACTGCTTAAACTGTGGCAGTTCTCCTGCCCCCGGGGCTGGTACTTCAAGATGCATCCCTGTCTTTCATGAGGATGGGTAGGCATGTGTGAGTGCTGATGCCTCGCTGTGTGCTTCTCCCTAAGCTTACATCATGTACAGGCTCTTTTCTCATCCTCTGGTAGCTTTCATTCCATTGCCACACTGCTGTCTCTTCCTGTGCAAGTTTCTTCAGCCAGAATGGAATATAACAGATAGTTCAGGGATGTTTCTGATGAGAACTTCTCTGCTGTTCCCAGGCTGGTTCTGTACTTTGAGAGTGGAGGCTTCCTTGTTTTCTACAACTGCCGAATGCACTGGTGCTCCTCTCCGAGGGCTGATCCTGCTTCTGACATCCTGTCTGCGGAGTTCCACCGTGGCCGGGCGCTGGATGCCCTACACACACCCAGTCCCATCTGCTACACCCTCTTAGACCAAAGATATTTTTCAGGGCTGGGTGAGTTCCAGAGCATAGTGGCCTCCAAGAGATGGAGGAAAGTGGGAGGGATATCTACAGACCCAGAACTGCATGTCTGAGCCTTCTGCTCTTTAGCCTTCACACTTCTGGCTGATCAAGCTGAGAGTATGTGGTTGTCTTGCTGATGACAAGACTTGCAGCCTGTAACCACAGGCTTCAACTATGTGGGTGCACCATGTGAGCCCAGTGGTGCAGTGCCCTGTGACATGTCTTGGTGTGGGTGATCGGATTGTCTTGTACTTGTTGAAGAAAAGGTCTGCTTCCAAGGTTGTGGCAAGAGAACATCTTCCAGTCTTTCTGTCTGCTCTTCATATGCCACCTCTGATAATGGGAATGGTGTTGCTAGCTGTGATCCTTGAGGCAGAAGTCACAGATCAGAGGTATAGGCCTGCATCATCTTGGTAAGAAATATCCTTATTGTCTCCTTATTTCTGACCCTTTCCAGGGAACATCATTAAGAATGAGATCTTGTACCTGGCCAAGATCCATCCATTAACACAAGGCGCTCTCTTGGCTCTCTCAGATCTGGAGCGTCTGCTTGACTTTGCCGTTCGGTTCAGCTCTGACTGGCTGCACAACAAGCTGCATGGGAGAAAGCTGCGCTTTCAGATCTACCAGAAGGAGCAGTGTCCTCTTGGACATGCAGTGATAAAGGAAACTCTTGGACCCTCAGGTGGCTTGAAGAGACTTACGTGGTGGTGTCCTCAGTGCCAGCCTGCAGTGCTGTCAGGCGATGGGGATCCCTCCCCAGTCACTGAGTGACCTGCCTCTGTGTTCCTCCTTTCCTGGAGGGTGTCTAGGTGGTCTCTTAGTTATCCTGAGAAGGACTTCATGGTTTCTTTGAGGCTGTTCAGTTTGCTCTTTAAGGACAGTGAGTGGGCAGAGTTTAGTGCTCAGTGGAGGTTACAGGAATCACTCTGTGTCTCTGGACACAAAAAGGAAAGCGGTTGTACGTGGTAGTTGTTTTTTTGTCACAGTGACAAAACAATGTAAATGGGTTGAAGTGTCTTGATCACCGTGTTTGGACTACAGCGAATGGAAAGCATAGGAAGTGGAGCAGGTGATTACCGGGGTCTGAAGTGCCCCTACCCCTTGGCCCTACTGTGGGTGCAATTGCTTTTGGTGGAGTTGGCAGAAAGGAGCATATACCTCTGCCTAAACAGCTTGATTAACTCAGTACTAGGTAATCCTGCTTCTGTACCTGTGTGCTGCGCTGTGGTTAGAAGCGAGTGGCTGTTCCCTCTGTCAGCTCTTACATGAACAGCTGCCTCCTTCCCATGGGAGAAGGTAAACCTCAGCAGTGCTTGGAGCTCACCTCTGCCCCTGCAAGTTTCAGTTCTGTGGCAAGCTGCCACTTCACTGTAAAAAATAAAAACACTTAAAAATATTGTGCTTATGACCGGGGTTGCATGAAACTCATTACCTCCAGAATAAGTTGAAAGTGGAAAGGTTGGGAAATGGTGTGGTCCCTCCTTTGTTGGGCTGTGTGTGTGTCTATGCAGTAGGCAGGAGCTGTTGCTGTTTGTTCTCCCTGTATTTTGGTTTATTTTAACAATAGATTGTGACTTGAAAAGGTGGAGTTAAAACCACTGAGGTTCATCTGAAGTTCAGTGTGTCTTTTTCTGGTAGTTTCTTGCTTAAAAACTGAGGTGTACGGGGGAAACTTGAGCATTTGGTGCTGCCTTGTAGAGGATGGAACCAGCAGCTTCCCTCAGCTGTGTAGGATGGCTCAGCAGGGAAATGTTCTCACAGAATCATCAACTAGGTTGGAAAAGACCTTCAGGATCAATGAGTCCAACCTTTACCCCGGGACTGCCACGTCCACCACTAAACCATGTCACGCAGGGCCTCATCTACGTGTTTTTTGAATGCTTTCAGGGATGGTGGTTCCACCGCTTCCCTGGGAAGCCTGTTCCAAAGCCTGACTACTGTTTTGGTGAAGAAATTGTCCCTAATATCCAACCTAAACCTCCCCTGGTGCAGCTTGAGGCCATTTCCTCTTGTCCTATCACCTGTTACTTGGGAGAAGAGACCAACCCCCACCTCACTACAACCTCCTGTCAGGTAGTTGTAGAGAGTGATAAGGTCTCACCTGAGCCTTCTCTTCTCCAGACTAAACAACCCCAGTTCCCTCAGCTGCTCCTCATTGGACTTGTGCTCCAGGCCCTTCCTCAGCTTTGTTGCCTGTCTCTGGACATGTTGCAGCACCTCAACATCTCTCTTGTAGTGAGGGACCCAGAACTGGACACAGGATCTAAAGGTGGATTGCACATGAGCAGGGTGTGCTGGAGTTGAATACCTCAGTGGTAAGCTGTTTCCCAGGTTTGCACAGCCTCTCCCCTGTGAGCTGTGACGCCCTTGGGTGGTTATAGCATCAATGCGTAATCCACTTAATGGGGTTATGGTGCCAAGGAAGACAGTTAATGTCGCTCCTGAGCATGTCCTGCAGGGTGTCTGTGAAAGTCTGGAAATGAGGCATAGTCATTTCAGTGCCCTTCTAGAACAGAAACCAGTGTGCGCACACACGCACAAAAGAACCTCCAGCAAATGAAGCTCACATTGTTAAGGATGAGACAGCAGGACCTTGGTGTTTGGAGGCGAATCCAGGCCAGGCTGGATGGGGCATGGAGCAACCTGGTCCAGTGGAAGGTGTCCCTGCCCATGGCAGGGGGTTGGCACTGGGTGAGCTTTAAGGTCCCTTCCAACCCAAACCAGTCTATGGCTTGTGGTTGAGCCAGGTGCAGGGAGCCGGCAGTGGTCTCACGTCCCAGCTGGCAGGAGGCTGGGGTGATCCTGCCGAGAGGAGGGTAGCTCCAGAGGAGAAGTGCCGCTAGGGAAAGGATAAGAGATGCCTTAAGCAAGTAACCACCCTCACGGCTGAAGCGGAGAGGGCCTGGCTGAGCCCGGGGGCGAGAGGGGGCTGGAGGGGCTGCGGGTTCGGGCGGC